GGGGCAGAATCAGGAATCCCAAAACTGGACTGGCCACACAAACCACTATTCGTCCGGATCCCACTGGGGCTGGAAGGGTGCGAAAGGTGGTTCCTACCGACCTCCGGTCACATCAACGCAGAGTTCCGTGACTGTCCGGTCTCTGGTTAGATTAAGGCTCGATATGCTCCGCTCCTAAACTCACGCACCCTACATGGCCCTCTGGTCCTAGAGGCTAACCTACACCCTCGCTGACTTCCACCTCCCACGTCCTCAACTTGCCTGGCCGCCCCAGCGCGCAGTCAGAGAACTCGACCCAACTGCATCCGCAGTCAGTCTCTCCCTTCACTCTTCGAGCCCCGACTCCCATGCCCTTCCCTGTCCACCAGGCTAACTAACCTCTCTCGAAATCGCCCACTTCAGGGTCTCCTGCCTAGATGTCCAGCCAGGACTCCCCCTCGGAGCCTAACTCCCCCAGCTCCGAATCCCCTTACCAGTCAATTCCAACGCTTGACTCTCTCTCCACCTCCAAGACCCCTCCCTAGCCCCCATTCTACTCCCTCGGGCTCCCGTTCCTCTCAATCCCCACCCACAGCGATCTCTCCACGCCCAGTCCTTTCTTTAGCCTCAGTCTGCTTCCTCTCGAACCCGGGTCCCGAACCCCCCGCCCATACTCTCGAACACCCGCAGGACCCAGCTCGGGGAATCTCACCATCTCCCCGCGCTGCAGCTCGCTCGACTACGCGGGTTTCCCCCACTCGCTCCTCTCCAGCCTCCCCTTCCGGGTTCTCGCCCCGAAGCCCGCCGGGAATTGGAGTACGGGCGGCCACGGACTACAGCTCCCAACATGCAGCACCGTACCTTGGAGGCGGAGTAGGAAACACACGAGGCGGGCTGGGAACGAGAACGACTCAAATTCCCAGGAGGCAAAGGGCACACTCAGCTGCGCAGGCGCAGAAAGTTCTCCCGCGAGGCTCTCTGGGAAATGGAGTCCAGCCGCCTCCATTTTGGCCCGAGGCCCCTGAAGAGGAAATTGAGGCAACTTCAAAGCGGCGTTAGTGAGGGATGGAGAGTCGAGAAAGAAAAACATTTATTGATTTATTTATGTCATTTAACAATTGATGATATATGCGTTTCCCAAGCTTTCCCTCCCACTCCTCTCCTCCATCTCACACCCCACTTTTGCCTGCTACCTCCTCCTAATTCACAAACAAGAAAAGCAAGATGCTGGAGTGAGGGAAGCCCAGGCGCGCTGCGACTGTCTATACCCCAGACAGCAGGACCTCCAGAGGGCAGGAATCGTTATGTTCCTCGGTTAGGCAGCTAGACCAGTACTGAGTGGTTAGTTCATGCTGTTTGACCACTTTGGAGAAGCCTAGGAAGAATTAGCCCAAATTTCTAAAAGTTACGGTGAACGTAGATCAAGCCTCTGCCCACATCAGTACTGGGAGCCAAGACAGTTAACCCAAGGTACTAGTCATGGCCTGGTGGCTAGAAAACGTCTGAAGATCTCCACCCCACCACCATCATCGCGAAATTCCCATATCCGTGTACATGAGAACGTGCTTTCGTTTATTTTATTTGAGTGTGTGTGTAGATTAGAGGGTGACTCTCAGGAGTCTATTGCCCTTCTCCCAGAGTCCCGGGGATGGAACTCAGGTGTGAGGATGCGCCGCCTCACCAGCCCAAAAAAGCTTTCTAAAATGTACAGTTTGGGATGGTCATGGTGGCGATATCTTCTTGAATTTGAGGCTAGCCTGGTCTACCTACATACTGAGTTCAAGGCTATGAGACTCTATGTCAGAAAATAAACAAACGCCTGGAAAGATTTCTCAGCAGTTAAGAGCACATATCGTTCTTGCAGAGAACCTGAGTTTGCTTCCAGCACCCACCCTGGGAAGTTCACAACTGCCTGTAACTCCAGCTCTAGGGGGATCTGATGCCTCTGCCCTTGGGGAGACCTGTGCTGTGCGCTCATGCGCACATACTTCCCCCGACAGGCACCGTGTATACACAGTCAATAGTAACAATATTATTAAAGGATTTATTTGTTTATTATGTATACAGCATGTCTGACCGCAGGCCAGAAGAGGGCACCAGATCTCATTACAGATGACTGTGAGCCACCATGTGGGTGCTGGGAACTGAACTCAGGACCTCTGGAAGAGCAGTCGGTGCTCTTAACCTCTGAGCCATCTCTGCAGCCCTTGTTTTTTTAAATAAAGAAACTGTATAGTTTGTAGCCTGACGTGGTGGTGCACTCCTTGCCTTCGAGCGCCAAGCACTGGGCAAGCCTGGGCTACATAGCAAGCCCTGGCCCACACACAGACCCGAAAACGGTTACTTTGTTTGCATGTGCAGGCCCTGGCACCTCTACAGTTCCTTCAGGTCTACAAAGGCTCGTTTCGAGGAAGTTGGCAAGTTACCAGCCCGAGCAAGGTGCCGGGCACACCGTGGTCTTTAACCAGAGAGGCGCTGAAGGGAAGGGGTGGGACGGGGCACAGGAGGGCCGGCAGGGGGCGTGCTGACACCTCCCGCCAGTCTCCAGGGGGACCGGCCAGGGGGCGGGGCAAACAACCAGGGGGCGGGACCAACCAGGGGGCGGGGCCCTAGGAAAAGGCGGGAAGCGCAGCGAGAGCTGATTGGCCGGCAGTCCAGGAGCACGTGTCAGAGCTGCGGCCGGTGC